AGCACCTGATAGCTGCTAATCTACTTTCTGTCTCTGGATTTGCCTATTCTGGACATGTCATATAAACGGAATCAAATAATATGTAGCCTTTGTGTCTGATTTTAGTTTAGCATGTTTTCAACGTTTGCCCATGTTGTGGTACTTGATAACTCTGGCCGAATAATATCCCACTGTATGAATATGCCACATTTTGTTTATTCATCATTTGATGGACATTTGGGTTTTTACACTCTTTGGCTATTATGAATAATTATGTTATATGTACACTTTTTTATGTGTGTGAACATAGGTTTTGGTTCTTTTGAGTATATACGTAAGAGTGGAATTGCTGGGTCATATGGTATTTCTGGGTTTAACTTTTTGAGGAACTGCTATACAGTTTTCCACAGCAACCACACCAGTTTACATTCCTACTAGTAGTATATGAGGGTTCCAATTTCTCTGTATCCTTGTTGACACTAGGATATCTGTCTTTTTATTATAGTCATCCTTGTGGATGTGAAGTATCTCATTGTGGTTTTGATATGTAGTATTACCCTAATGACTAAGGATGTTGAGCATCTTTTCTTTTGCTTACTGGCCATTTGTATATCTTCTTTGGTGAAATGTCTATTCAGATCCTTGGTTCATTTTTAAATTCGGTTATTTGTCTTTTTATTGTTGAGTAGAGTTCTTTATGGTGGTTATGAAAGTTTTTAATTTTGATGTCCATTGTATCTCTTTTTTGGTCCCTTTTTCTTCTGGCGTTATATCTAAGCAAATCATTGCCTAATCCAGGATCATGATTTACTCCTGTGTTTTCTTCTAAGAGTTTTATAGTTTTACCTCTTGCATTTAGGTCTGTGATCATTTTGGAAGTAATTTTTCGAATATGGTATGAGGTATGGGTTCAGCTTTATTCTTTTGCATGTGGATATCCAGCAAAATTTTGTTTTTGTTTTTAAACATATCTTTATTGATTTCAGAGAGAGGAAAGGAGGGGGAGAGAGAGATAGAAACATCAATGATGAGAGAGTCATTGATCGTCTGCCTAGCCCGCAACCCGGGCATGTGCCCTGACCAGGAATGGAACCACGATCTCCTGGATCCTAGGTCGATGCTCAACCGCTGGGCCACGCCCGTCCAGGCCAGCACAATTTGTTGAAGATTAGTCTCTCCCCCTTTGAATAGTTGGCATTGATTGGCCATAAATGTAAGGGTTTGTTTCTGAACTCTCAATTCTGTCCCACTGTTCTACAACATATTTTTGTTCTTATGCCATTAACACGGTGTTTGAAACAGGAAGCTTGAGTTCTTCCTTTTGTTCTTTTTTTTTTTTTAATGTATCTTTATTGATTTCAGAGAGAGGGAGGGAGAGAAATGTCAGTGATGAAAAAGTCATTGATTGGCTGCCTCCTGCATGCCCTCTACTGGGGATCGAACCCGAAACCCTGGCATGTACCCAGACTGGGAATCGAACCTCCATCTCCTGGATCCTAGGTTGATGCTCAAGCGCCGAGCCATGCCTGGCCTAGTGACTTTGTTCTTTTTAAAGATTGTTTTGTCTCTTTTGTGTTCCTTGCACTTCCATATGAATTTTAGGATCAGTTTATCAATGTCTACAAATAAAGTAGCTGAGATTTTAGTTGTGGTTGCATTGAATCTGTAGATCAGTTTGGAGCATGATGTAAGATTTCTTTGTAATTCACCTGTGTTTATTTTAATACTTGTTACCCTCTCTTTCCATTGTGATTAGCTCTGAAACTCTGAAAAGACAAATGGGTTATGTGTTTATTTGGGGGAGGAACTAGGAAATAAGGAACTGGGGAAACACCTATTCATGGCCAGTCTTGGGAGCCAGAGGACACAGATCTCTAGGGGTAGAGTATCCATAGGAGTAAAAAGCAAGCTGAACTCAGTGAAGACAGACATTTGCTTCAGAAGTTTGAGGTGTATACAAGGGATATATCTGTGTTTTTTGGCCTGGGAACTTTTTCAGTTTTGAGAACCCTCTTTTTAAAAATTATATATTTATGTAATCAAAATTAGGTTCAGGATATTGGAAGGGGTCCATTCAGTTGGAGGTCCCTAAAGCTTGTTTCATTAGTATCAAAATAAATTCACCTCTGCGTGTGTATGCATTAACATTATGGCAAAATATTTAAGGTTTGAAATTGGTAGATTGGGTTGTGACTTTAGGAACACCATGCAGCTTCCGGAATGGTGTCCTTCAGCTGGGCCTTGAAAAAGGGCAGAATTTAGAAAAGGATGGGCTTATTGGAGTTAAATTTTCTTTTTTTATTGATTTGAGAGAAAGGGAAGCATCGATTTTGTTGTTTATGCATTCATTGGTTGCTTCTTGTATGTGCCCTCACCTGAGATAGAACTCGAAGCCTTGGCCTAATCAGACCGACGCTCTAAACAACTGAGCTACCCTGCCAGAGCGGAGTTAAATTTTCTTTCTATGACTAATTTTTGCCAGGAAAATAAACCCTACCTTGTAAGGTTTTTGGGTTTAGATATAATGTGAACAAAATGCTTATTGCCATGTCTGGCATATAGCAAGTGGGTGCCCAATAATAAAGTACTACCAGTGGAGAAAAGGAAGTGAAAAATGCTTGGCATATCACACAGAGTAGTTTGAGAAGCAACAGTGAGGCCAGAGTGGACAACTGAACGTTGGGAACAGTGGGCAAGTGGATTTAATTGGAAATGAGGTTTTTCTTGGAGCAAGATAAATTGGAGGGATCAGTAGTGTTCAGGTTGTACAGTCCTGTCTAGGCTGTAGAGAGCCACGCACTAGATCTGTGCTGTCTAGGATGGTAGCCACTAGCCACATATGGCTATTGAACAGTTATTATGTGACTAGTATGACTGAGGAAACTGGACTTATAATTTAAATTTAAACTTAGCCAGGTGTTAAGTGCTCAGTCGCCACATGTGGCTAGTTCTACCTGTTGGAAGCACAGATGCAGAACATTGCCATTATCATAGAAAATTCCATCAGACAGCACTGCACTAGACTAGGAAGTGAGACCATAGAGCTGTGAGAATTCAGAGCAGGGGATGTAGTTGTGAGTTTGGAATAGTTAGAGAATAATATGCAGAGGTGGTGGGCCTTGAATTCTAGGCATTGGATTAATAGAAAAAGGTGGGAGTAGCTTTTAGGGGGGTTAGGGGTGGGTGAAACAGCATTGAAGACTTTTTGACTAGTGTGTTAGAAAATGGTTAGAGGTAAGTTTCCTAGTTATTGAGAGTTTATTTGCTCCTTTGAAGAGGTTGACGTTCATCTGTTAAACTATCTGAATGTGTCAGATTTGGAAAATTAATCTGGCAGTTGTTTCCTAGGTGAATTAAAAGGAAGAAAGATTAAAACAAAAAAAAAGACTGGAGGTTTAAGGTGATTGGGAAGTGAATGGATCATTGTAGCAAGCGTGTGGAAGAGACTAGAGATGTAAATTTGAAACTTGCTCATGTAAAGGCAGGAGTAATTACCCACTGACACATATCCTCCTCTTGGAACATCTTTATGTCCTTGGTTGTAAGTACGGAGTCATAGAACCTCTGAAGTCTTTGAGGAGTTTACTTAGGGATGAGAGATTCCCAGGCCTTTGTGTTTAAAGTATCTCTACCTTTTCTCAGAGGAATAGTTTTTACTTTTTAGAGTTTATGTGATTCTTTCAGATGGTTTTTAAAGTTTTTATTAAGTGGAGAAACCCTTTTTTACAAAATAAAATTTTGTGCAAAAGCCCAAAATAAAACAGGACTTGCTTGTTTTATATTAAGAAATTTAAATTTATTTTGTATCCATTTTCTAACCCAATCCCTGTTTCAATAAAACTCTTAGCTCCCCTAGCCACTCACATAATACACACTTTTTTTTTTTTAATTTGAGAGTTGTAGAGAGCCTTAGAGTCATTGATCTGAATGTCAGTGCTGTGGTATAAAAGTGATATATTGGGCTAAATGTGAACTGACACATGATTGTTTCATGAGAGATTTTGTTTTTAATAGCTACGTATTGTAAGCTAGCTTGTTCCTTGTTATTTGCTTATTTCTCTTAAAATTTAAAGTTAAAAAGCAATTCACATTCACTCATGGTTCCAAATTGAGTCACTGATTTTAGATGTTCACCGTATTTAGCTTTCACCTATCTCCATATAGGTAGAGTACAGAGAGATGGATGAAAGCTTGGCCAACCTCTCCGAAGATGAGTATTATTCAGAAGAAGAGAGAAATGCCAAAGCAGAGAAGGAAAAGAAGCTTCCTCCACCACCCCCTCAAGCCCCACCTGAGGAAGAAAATGAAAGTGAGCCTGAAGAGCCATCTGGTGAGTTGTAGTAACCAACCAGTTTTGTTTTATCTTAGAAATAAGACTTAAGTGGATTTATTCCTATTGTACAGTGTTATTTATGTCTTTATTTTTGGTTTATACTCTAGACTTTGGCCATGTGTGTCTTAGTGTATGTATACACACATGCATACGTACATAGTGGTATTGATAGTCTTTGTGTTATTTGTCTGTACATATATAGGAAGAAAGTAAAGAAGGGGAGTGGAAGGGTAGTGGCAGTCAGTATAAAGCATTTGGAAAGTTGGAGAAAATAAACAAATAGAGAAAACGTACAGAAAGCCAAAGCCAAAGAGCCAAACCTTTCAGCGATACGTCTGATTCAGAATTTAGAGATAGAATAGTTCAGAAATTATTCTGACTAAATCATGCATTTACCAAATAGATAACTTTCATGATGTGGATTAGTTTGAGAAGGGTCTTTTCCAGGTGAAAATTTTTTAAATATATTCTGAGGTCAAAAAGAAAAGACCTACTAAGTACCTGTTATTTAGTTATTGAGCCCTCCAATCAAAGGAATGGTATAAAAGATTATGAAGAGATATAAGCTCACACAATCTTATGACATGGAAAGATTATTGGAGTCAGAGCTTCAAATACCTTTAAAGAATTCTCACTGACATTCCCTTAGCCTGCATCCTACTGAGGACACCCAGACCAATCAGGGAAACCTGTCTGTTTTGGAAAGGCCAAACAAAAGTAGAACTTAATGAATTTTTCATATCTTCTGCCTTTAATGACATTTCATGAACTCTTCTTGACTTTAAATTTTTACTATGTTCTTCTCCTTAAAATGCTTTTGATATTTCCAGTAGCTCCAGGCTCAGTCACCTTACTAATTCTTTTAGTCCTGAACCTTTTAAAAGCAAAATCCTTTTTGCAGACCCCATATGCTATATTTTACGTGACTTTCATAGGTACCCAGATTAAATTTCATGTGAGAAGTTTGGTCTTTTTTTTTTTTTTTTT